GTGCCGTTAGTGCATGCGCCATGCTACGTCATTGCTCTATCACGTACGCACAGTCGCTTCGCGCAATATAAGGTTTGCTAGCTGTGGGACGAGTGGGAAACTTACTTTGAGGACGCGCCTCGTATAAGTATCTAAATTCATTTTTTTTTAAAAAAATGTGTTTTTTGTTGTTGTAATTGTTCCACTTTTTTCCCCAGTTTTGTTACATTAAGTCAAAGGTGGTGCAATTATTATAATATGAAATTGGCCATATAACAAAGAAGCGTAGTGATAATGGCAGTTTAACCTTTATTGTAAGGAAATGGGGAATCCACACAGTACACAACCGCGCTCCTTACTAGTCCTTGCCATACCTTTTGTGCGTGTTAGATTATAAGCCACGTATATTTTGCTCATTAGAGAACATTTGTTCAACAGACATCTGGATGGGCAACCCGAATTTAAAGCAGAAACTTGGACGAGTGTCAATAACGGTGGTGACGGTGATGGTAGCAGTGATATGGGCCTGCTGCCTGCCGTCATTGCTCTGTCAGTGATCTTGGCGATTCTACTGGGTGGTGCTGTCGTTGTTTACGTGCTGTATATCAGGTCTGTAGTTTCATTATAAACATGTACTGATTGCAGGCCAAGTGATAAATATTGATATAATTTAACTTTGTGATTAGCAAGGTTATCTGACTGACATTCTGAAGTGAACTGGTGACTTTCGGTTGTTGTCCCCCCACCCCCCACCCCTATGCAGTTTTATAAGTACAGTAAGCATGCTTAAATTCAATCAGGTCTGTAACAAAATTTTTAGTACTTAAAGGCGGGTACACATTAGCGAACTGTTGCATGTAACGTTACGGTTACTGTAACTACTCCTTAACATGGACGCCATGTCCATAGTCGTCATGTAACCGGCTGCGAGCGACCAGATCCACAGTATAGAGTAAGCAAACCAACAACTATTAACAGTATAATAAGACACCATTGCCATACGCGTTCTGACCTCAAGGTGTCATCATCAGTGGCATCAGGGAAATTAATACATTTAGTCAAATGGTCCAAACTGGATTCAAAATTAAAAATACTAGATGCTGTTATTCACAGGAGTAGAACTTGCACTTAGCTATTGATCCCGTGTTCGGTGGCCGTAGCTGGTCTCAGCGAGCTATAATTGCGTCGTCTGTACCTGTGAACTTCAGAACCGTTCCATTTCTGTTAACGCAATCTGAACTCAAATGCAAGCACAGTACTGACGGAGTTGAAACTGTGTCTTCTGCAATGCATTCCAATGATGGGTTCAGTGTCCATAAGATAATCCTCCAGAGAGGAGGCATTCTTCAGTCAGAAATTCAAAATAACAAAATATGTAACTGAAAAAGTTTCCCTGAAAAGCATCGGAGCTAAGTGCATGAACTGTCCAACTTACAACAAAAGGGGTGACCAAGTTCCAGGATAAAGGGGTGTCCATGATTCAGGATATTCGGCGGTTCCAATTAAAAGTGTCCAATATAAAGGGGTGTCCAACTTGAGGGGTTTTACTGTAGCATTGCACTGCGGAGGGTGTAACAGGAGATATCTTTTAAATGATGCCCATAGTGTATTTTAAAAATGTTACAGTTGCATTATCCAGTAACAAATACTCTCTTACTTTTCTTCTAGACCAAAAAGGGACAAAGATCAGGATTATTATGACAGATTTTTGACCAGTGATCGTCACTCTTCAGCATCGTCATTGTAAGTATATAAATGTGTCTTGAATATTTTGATATTAAGTTGTAAGTTTTTGAATGTTCTAAGTGTGTAAGACTTTGCATATGTACTTCTGTGGCAATCATCTGTGACAATATGGAGCAGAAGTCCGACATTTCAGAGACCCTCTCTGTCTCCATTTTTTGGGATGGACTGTGTTCATCACAACATCCTGTGATGATAGAGGTGGAGTGTTCTCCAAAACATTAAAATTTTACTAAGATTTTAACTCATTGCATGTGTTTGCCACTATGACCATTAGCCCCATAGAATACATAAATGAATAACAGCTTGACGTACCGTAATGTAATGTGCGTGGTACTGGGCTGGCGACAGGTCTCATTACCAGTTAATGTCTGCCATGTTCAGACCAATGCTGAGGTAAATCCAACCTCCTTTCCAGTGGGTACCAGGGTCACTTTCTTCAGAGGCAAAGTGGCCAGATTATAAAGCTGGTCGTTTGCCACATGTGGTGCTGAGATCAAGTGTGCATGAAGCGTTGACTCTACCCTGGGTCGTGCTGTCAAATTTTTAAGTACTTTCCAGAATGACGAAAGTGTTTGTAATGTCCTCCCCCGCTCCCCAAATGAGATGTGACTAGGCCACGCTAGCTTCAGGGGCATTTTATCATCTGTTTTGAATTTTAAGATACAGTTTGTGAAGGTTTCACAAGAAACTGATGGCGCGTGGTGAAGAGGGGGTGACGAGCAGACAGTGACGTACAAATATGTTTTCAGAAGACGTGAGATTCCAACTCATCTTATGATTATATATTTTATGCCAGTTTACTTTCTGCAAAATAGACACACAGTAGGTGTTATATTTATTTTATGATGCTGAACTGTTGTATATGTTCCAAAATAGTGAGTGTGTAAAATTCTTGTTGTTTTATTTGTGAAACGTAATCAGTGTGAAATATTACAATTTGATAAGTGTACCATATAAAGATGCACAGTTGGTCTTAAGTACTTGTTAAACTTAGAAAATCCGCGACGGAAATTTTTCAGTTATTGACTGAGGCTTACAGTGAAGATTGTATGTCTCGTGCACTTGTCTTCGAATGGCACAAACGATTTTTGGAAGGCAGGGAAAGCGTGGAAGATGATCGTCCCGGGTCATCCACGCACATCAATTACTGACGACAACGAAAAAGTGTGAGATGCGATTCGAAAAGACCGTAGGTTAGGTGTCCAAGCTGTAGCTGAGATAGTTACTTTAGACAGGGAAAGTGTTCGACGCATTTTAACCGAAGAATTTTAACATTAAAAAGGTTTGCCCAAAAATGTTTTCTAAAATTTAAAGCTAACATTCCTAGCAGCAGTAAAATCCTTCACTAGGGTGCATATAAACACTTACGTAACAGTTAACCCACAGAGTACATTGGGGATCTCTTCTAAGAGATACAGTGAATTGCATTATGCTAGTTTTACTTTATTATATTTCATTGTCAGTATTACTTTCAGAGAAGGAAATGGAGTTGTGTCTACCGCAGAAGATAAGAGTAATCCACTTGAAAATGTTCAGTTCAGTAGCACCATGTAAGTAGTAGTTTTCAGTATATACATGTACTTAATTGAAATAGGAATTTAAATCAGATGAATTTAATGAACATTCTAAAAATATCTTAGCTACAACTTAAACAAAATCATTGTCATACACATGTAAAATTTGAATATTGATTATTGTAACAGTATTCTCAGCATAACGCTTTTACTTTCCTTAGATTGGCAGCTCGTCAGATTATATTCAGTACATATTGTGGTTCCAATCTTATGCTTGTCTATGTCCTATCTTGTACAATGACAACTGTCAGCTGTGCCAATATGTGATTGATCTTGACATACTAATCAACAAATTCTATCACTACGATAATTAAGCAAAGGCATTTCTGTACAGCGACGTCACTGTTTATCAGGTTTTTAAAAAAAACAGTCAAAATGTATATATGTCGTAACAACTCTACAGATTAATATTTGTAATTTTATATCATATTTAATAATGATTCATTGTGAATTGAAAGTGTATAAAAAGTATTATAGACCGAGTATGTCATCTAAGTCTAATATAATGTGATCCATTAGAATATTTAGATATTATCGCACTGAACGTCAGTGTTGAGGGATTATATCCTCGGCTTCATATTCAGGATATCTCGGGTTAAAATGTCAACCCAGAAATCAGGGATCCTGAGATTTTATGTGGTTTTCCGCGTTCCCTTCAGCTAAGTGCCGGTATAGTGCCTCGCATTGCATCTTCACAAGTGCTTCCTTCAATTTCCTTTCCAGTTCTTCATTCATTAGTCATCCTGTGAATGAACACTGTACAGTCTGAGCTGCTGACAGCAATGTTGACGTATATACAGGTTGACTCAAGAACGTGTCATGCCGACATATGTAATGGCTGTGTTTATACGAGGCGCGTCCTCAAAGTAAGTTTCCCTGGGGCCGTTTACAGAAACAAAACACAATTTCATGGGAATATTTATTGCAACAGATACAGCAAGTGTCCAGCTATTTTTCAACATATTCGCCACCGGAATTGAGACATTTGTCATACCGTGGGACCAACTTTTGAATACCTGTGTCGTAGAAGTCTGCCGCCTGGGATTGGAACCACTGTGTGACAACCATCTCCGCCTCTCTTTCATTCTCAAAACGCTGACGCTGACCGGACAGGAATTTCTTGAGGTGTAGGAAAAGATGGAAATCACTGGGAGCGAGGTCCGGGCTGTAGGGTGAATGATTAAACACCTCCCAGCTGAACTCCTGCAGGAGACTTGCTGTCCGTCGAGCCGTGTGCGGCCTAGCGTTATCACTGACCGCACTTCACAGTCGGCGGGAGCTGGAATAAGAACCTCCATCTTCAACAGCTGCAACGATGCTAATGTGAGAACGCGGGAAGTTCCGTTAGTGCATGCGCCATGCTACGTCATTGCTCTATCACGTACGCACAGTCGCTTCGCGCAATATAAGGTTTGCTAGCTGTGGGACGAGGGGGAAACTTACTTTGAGGACGCGCCTCGTACATATTTTTGGGACACTATGATAGCATTTTGCCATTAAATCTTCTAACCAGTCTGGAAATGTAGCAGTGGATTGAACTGTTTTAATTAATTTTGTTGTTAGGAAAGAGACTGAACCGCCTCCGGTGGCATCGACCATCTTGCCGCGTATAACGACGACAGAACCAGACCAAGAACTCAGTAACTGCACTGTGCTAGGAGATTTTGACCATGGAGCAACTGATGACTTTAGAGGTACAAGTGGTGAAGACGTTAGTGAAAATGAAGATGTCAAAGATGAGATGACAAGGAGAAAATCAGTTGTAACTTTCAATGATAATGTTGAACGTATTGAGATAGAGAGACTGTGAAATAAATAGAAAGTGATTAAGTTACTGCATAAACGCACGCAAAAACATCAATTGTAGATGTAAAACCGGTCTTTCATCCAGATAACTAAAAATGTTACACAGCATCAATAGTCAAAGGTTTGACAGCCACAAAAGACAAAAATTGGCCGTGATGTAGAAGAGTTGTACTTAGATACTTACACAGTACGTAAACATCTCTTTACATTGCTCAAACATCCAGAGATACGTGAAGAGTTGGAAATTCAAAAGATATGCAGAATTTAAGTTAATTTATTGCTTAAAATAGGAACAGAAGCAGTTCAGATTTTAATGGAGTATAATATTAGTGGCCCTAATGAAAATTTATTAAAAAAAAATAATTTTGGTTTATGTTGGTCAGTATATTTGACCAGATTACAGGCAGTCCATAAATTTCTGTTAATAAAAAGTTTTTATATGCAGATGTTGATGAATTTTGATGGTGAATCTTTGTAGTAAAACCACACTTTCAGGTTGTATCAGCTAATCCGGGCTCCCACTTCACTTGAGGACAAAATTAATTTTAAGCATAACATTTATGATATTCACTGGCTCAGTAGCTGTGTCAGACTTCATCTGTATAATTTATTGATATAAGATTTTTATTTATGGTGTATACATGTTTGGGTATGAAGAGTTTTCTTGAGAATTTACTGTCTCTATATCCTATCAAAGATTTTCACACTCCATTTCTCAAGAGGCAGATAAGATGGCCAGAAGGTCTTTTATTTTTACTCCGAAAATTTCTTTCCAGTTTTTTTAACTTTGCATTAATAGCTTTAATCATCATAAGTTACAATATTTACACCACGTACTAGTATTGTTCAAGGCTCACGTGTGTTCTTTTCTCCGTAACGAGTACAAAAGCTCTTTGATCTGAAAAATATTTTAATATAAGATGCTTTACAGAATTGGTTTAGACAATTTTTGAAAATCAGAATGGTTAAAGACAAGAAGTGCTACATTCATGGACAATAATGCTTTTTAAAATATTTTGACTTGCTATTCTGATAAACTTCCAAACAATTAAGTACCTGTGTGCTCAGGCCGAAGTGTCAGTTTGTGTGTATAGAAGAAACTGAACAAGTTGAAAAGCTAAGTAATGAAATATGGATCCATAAAAAAATACAAAATACAAATGTAGAGAGTTATTTAAGACTGCTTTGTTTTTATTTATTTTTCCCTTGAATATTTTTATTCTTCAGTCTTGCGCTTTAAAGGCCTAACTGGCTGATTTCTGTTTCCATCATCATTAACACCGACTTCCTGTGTTTTTTTGCTTCATTGTGGCTGATAACCAGTATTCTGTTCCTCCCTTCTCTACCGATCCCTTTGTTTATCACAAAATTATTGCCGAGAGAACAGCACAGCTTGAAATAGAGGGCCTAAGACGTATATTACAAACTTCACTGTGTGCAATTTATAGCCTATGATATAGGCTAATTATTTTGAAAGTCTCTTAACCTGTCAATTTAAAAAATTATAGTATTTATGCAATAAAACATGTTAGCCTACTTAATTTAAATTGCTGACTTTACAAATTGTGTTCTTAATATCTTCTTCAAGCAATGTAAGTAGTAACGTGTGCAAAACGCACATTTAGTCCCGGCCACTGTTCACACGTTCCTGCTCCTACCACGTTTATATTACCAATACGAAATTCAAACGTACTGTTTCGAGTCAACCTCCAATGACAACGGCAATGCCAAATTTCATAAAAACCATCCAACAATTCTCGAGATGAAATATTCAGGCAAAGAGACAAGTTATCTGTGATCAGCCCTATAAGCAGATGGCTGTCCTCTGGGTTGTAGCACCGTGTGGTCTGGTATGTTTCAGGCGTCTTTGCTGTCCTGATGATAGAGGCAGCAAGGACATATGAAACGTTGGTAAATTTCTGCCAGATTACAACCCAGAAGACAGCCATCTTCGTCCTCTGCTCTGACAGAACTAAAATTCTATATGAGTTAATGTCGAACAAAGAACGCATAAAGACAGTGCGTGTAATGTAGGTCACATTATATCTTACAGTACTTGTTATTAGAATGCAGGACAATTCCCTGTTACATTAACCTAACCTCACAGTTGCTACTACGCCTCAGTAAACGAGAATTCTACCCATTAACGCTAAATCTATTGCACGTTTAATTAAAATGAGGTTCTTTTTTTAATTTCGCACAGACCACATTGCACGTCCCCACAGACATTGCGTATTCCAAACTATGTTGCGTACCGTGCTGTGCACAGAGTATTGCTACCACAGATCACCGTGCCACAACCATAGATAACCTACCTACGAATTCAGAATTATTATTTTACAGATCATGCTAGATGGCGTGAAAGAGTAGTGTGTGTATTCTCATTTCATGTTAATGAATTTTTATATGGGCGCTGTTTGTTGCTAAGCGATCTGACCGTGGGAGAGGAGATTTGCGACCATTTACTACTGTTTTATCGTTTTCACAACTTCTTTTAAGGAAGAGATGCAAATGAACTTCGTTTTTTAACAATAAAATCGATTTTAACTTTATTTTCATTTTCGTGTGGTAGTAATTAGTGTTTTGTGTGACTGGTAGATAACGAAGAAATGTGGCCACGGTCTTAAGTAAGTATCATTTTTTGCATTTTATAGGAAATTTTGTAATTATTTGTGATTGTAAGGATAAAGGAAGTTCATTGTCTTCCTATTGTGGGTTCTCGTGGACAGTAAAACGGGTACATTTCCAGCTGTAAGTCTTCAGTAGGTCACCACATTAGGAGTAACAATGGAAGAGTTGTTATTATGGTTGCCACAGGATATGTTTTAGATGGAAGTGCACTTGTGTGAGTTACGTGACCATGAAAATCGTTTTTACTAGAGGTGGTACACATCCAGGATTTCGTGCATTTAGGTGGTGTGATTTGAAGGAACTCTGCTGTTTTGCCAGGTGTTAAATGTATGTGGGGTAACGATGTTGGGGAGACAAATACATGCAGTTGAACCATTGCTACTGGAGTCCCACTGTTTTGAGGTTGAGATTACTATTCAAAATTTGAAAAGATATTAGTCACCAGGTACTGATCAAATTCTTGCTCAACTGAGCCAAACATAAATACCATAATGAAAAACACATAAGCTGTAATAGGTACTAGCATCTAATAGTTGCTACATGTTTTGTCATCAGACTGCAGAACAAAATTATTGTGTTGAAATAGGGATCCTTTGAAAATGTGACAAGTTAAAATGTTTGGGAACAACATTAACAAATCAGAATTGTGAGATTTAAGTGATAAGTATGCATATATATATATATATATATCACTTTATAGCATAGCAGGTCATTTGTGTGTTTTAATGCAGGAGTTTGTTTAAAAAAAATTAAGAAAGTATTTTTGCCTAAGTGGGATGAAGTAGATGGACGAAAGAAGAAAGGTGATGTTGCTGTTTCTGTAAGTACATTCTGTGGGTTTATTGGATGTGCATTCTAGACTTCAGCATTATACCGACATTGCAGAAGGAAGTCCCATGGGTGGTGGGAGATAGTGGCCTCTGGCATTCCCCCCTTTTGCCCAATATTTTATACCCGTCTGCTTCTGTGGCCAGCCCCAAAGTACTTGTCTGTAGTGATGGTTATTAGTACCAGCTTGGCTACTGGATATAAATACTGGGGAATACACGGGATAGGAGAAAGCATTACAACTCGAAGGAAGTGTGGAGGGGTGGATCTGTTATGCTTCTTTCCGTCTCTTGAGAATAGATGCAGGTGAGTGGTCAGCTTCATGCTCTGACCGCTTTGTCCCAGAAAGAAGGGTCATTTGTTAACACCAGATTGAAGACTGTGTGGGGCCCTGAGCTAATATGGATGTGGTGGCAAAGTCAAAATCTGTACCCATACCAGGAATCAAACCCTGTTCATCCATCTTATAGATAGTTAATTTACTAATTAATATCTTCCCCATCTTACAAGGTTGGTGGACAGGGTTTGATGTTACGTAACAAGAAACTGCGTTATTTATATATGTTGCTTTATACAGGGTAGTGGACTCTTGGTGTAGATCAAATCGGAAGACAAGAAATCTGTACAGAATTTTTATGAGGAAACTGCTTGGATAGTTGCCTATTGGAGAACTGTTCAAGAAGATAAATCTTATGGAATTGGTTTCAAAGTGGTGGGAACTGGTTCAAGACCTTGTCAGGATGTTATCAGTGTTGAATCTTATAATTCTGCTACTGGAGGGTTTGTGAGTTATATATATGGGTAAATGCTATCCATATGTATTGTAGTTACACAAACCTGTATGTATTACATAACCATAATCTTTCAGTTTGACTCAGAGTAAAATCAGTTTGCTTTCTGTGCCAAATGTGAAGAGATATCAGAAAGATGCTTTTCAGCTGGGCTTAGCCACTCTTATGTCCCTTATGTTTGTGTTTGTCGACTTAAGAACTATGTTTCGTACAGAATATATGTGCTATGGTCTTAATTCCAGTGGTTCATTGGTTATTGCCATCAAAATGGAACCTAAATAAAGCTTTCATGAAACCACCATCTTGTCGTTTTACAATTCGAGTTAACAAAAGTTGCATAATCACCTGCTAATTTGACCGCTTGTATACAGTAACCATCTGCGTAAAGTGACCAAAATTCAGTTGACCTGATAAGAATGATAGCGACCCATGTGCATAATGTAAATGGGCCGGGGTAGCTCAGTGAGTACTATACTGGCTATGGACTGGACGACCAGGGTTCGATCCCCGACGGGAGCAGATGATTTTTTCTGTAGCCTCTGCGTCCAGACCAGCTCTGGGGCCCACCTAGCCTCCTATCCAATGGGTACTGGGTCCTTTCCCTGGGGGTAAAGCGCAGTCAGGGCGTGACGCTGACCACTAACCCCCATCTAGTGCCGAGGTCAAGAATGAGTAGGATGTTTTAATAATGTCAGTGTAAACATTTTGCCAGTTATCTTGAGAGTTAATAAAATGGCATGGATAATCTGTGAGATGTTTATAAAATGGTTGAATGTCATTAACAATATTATGAAACAACAAACTAGAAATATTTTAATGATAATGGATAACTTTTTCTCACACGAATTTCTTCCACTGGCCACCATCTTGTTAAATGTGCTGGACGCTGTCTTACAGATTGCTGACACCCAAGATAAATTAAGAAATATTGTTTTATAATTAGAAAAGTACATTTTCATTCTAATTAACTTTGTTTTTACATAAATTAAGTTGCGACCACTAAGTTCCAGTCCCAAGATTGGTCTCTGTAGACAGGTTCAGCCATATTTCAGAGATCTGTGATTGTTCATAATTGCAACATTCTGTATTAAGTATTACTTCCACCTCAGACGTTGTGCGTCCTCCATGTTTTTTTTTTTACAGACTTTTGAATAATAAAAATGTACGATGTCGGGGTGGTCTGAAATGGCGTAACGTTGATACCATATTTCAAATCTAAAAGTTCTTGACGATGGTGATGAGTCAATTGAATAAAAATTTTCTTGGATATTATCCATCGTCTAGTAAATAACATATAAAACGTAAAACGACGTTTCGGAGATGGGGATTAGTGGGCCCAACTGAGTAGGAACCTGAAGACGGAGATAGAGCCCCATCTCCGAAACGTTGTTTTTTACGTTTTATATTTTATTTACTAGACGATGGATAATATCCAAGAAAATTTTTATTCAAATGATATCATATTTGTTTAAAATCGGGCAGGTGATTTAAAAGTGAAAAGGGGACACACACAGAGCGTGGTTCATAAGCCTCAAAATTTCTCTCCAGAGTTAAACATAAGCTGACGTCATTGCATAGAGCTCGTCGTCTACAGTCGACATTATCATCTCGCGAATTCAGCCTGGTTTGCGTTGGTTTAACGTGGAGTTTACCCGAACTTAAATTTTTTTTTTTCCCCCACAAAAACGACTCATAGTACAAATACACACAACCTTCTTATTCTATGCTTTGTCTGTGCGCTGTGTGCAGAGAACACATGAATAGCTAGAAAACAAACAAAGGATAAAATGTCTGCTTTGGGTTGCCACGCGAATCGGTTGTTGTGCGCGGTGGGCAGAGCTTTTATGCTTCTACTGCAGTCGATATGGGGCAGGCTGTAGGTTCGATTCGTGGCGGGGGTACGTGACATTTCTCTTCAGAATTATCCTGGGACTCTTAGTAAGCTTCCTCTTCAAGGAAACAAGATAGCGCGTTCTGTTCAGGGACACACATGAATGTAACCATTTACGTCGTCTTGATTTGTTCTGTTTTCTCTTGTAAAATAAAAAAAAATAGTAATTTCAGTAACTAATGCAATATGACTCGGATAGTGCAGTAAGTATCAGTATTTTGTCTTTGAGAATTGCATTCGAATTTTCTGAGGGTCAGTGACTTTGACGTGGACGGAGTATCCTGCCTGTATTGCAGGGTGATGACGTCATTACGGGGATCCCTACTGAAGATTCCCCACAATTTCACTTCATTGCGCAGAGACAACTTGGACCACAGCCAAAGACCAGTGGCCTTGGACTGTGACCTTGGAATTACTGCTGAATGCCCTTGTCAATGGAATCAGTCATAATGCCCGTTATTGTTGTCCGATTTGACCAAATATGGCCATAAACTTCAGTAAAACTCTACATTATCAGATTCCGGAAAAATCGTTTCAAACGTTCTCGAATTTTTCCGTGATGACAGACATGACGAAGCTAATGGACGTTTTGTTTTGCAACTTTTGTAAATAAATTAATATCTACGTAACAAAATATGCGTCTGTGCTTAGCTGAAATAGTCAGTTATTCATCAGTGTCAAACCGAAAGCTAAGTTGTGTGTGTTTCGCGTCGCCGCCATACTTCTCCTCTGTCCAGAAAAGAACATTTGCGCATGCGCTGTACGTCGGACAAAACTACAAGACGCTACAGGTTGGACTTGCATATGATTTAATGGAAGCCATAGTGAGAGAAGGTCGCATATACCGTCCCGCGTTACACGAATGCCGATGAAGTTGCCTAATTCTTAGTCATTTTGCCAGCAGAGACATCTTTATGTGTCAAATGAAGCGGGGATATGTTACCGTTGCTAAATAGCTGACAAACACGTCATTAGGAGAATGCATCTCGTGATCTCTCGTTTAAGGTTAGTGGGGCGAGAATTGCACAAACAGTAAAATAGTCTGTGACGTAAACTCGTGTGAAGAACACATTTCTCACTGGCGCATTCAGGCGGAATAAACACGCGTTACTCCAGAATGTAGTTAATTTTTAATTGAAAATAAAATGGCGTTCGTTATAATCGATCCCTCGAACTGCAGACCAAAGTAACACGTGTTTTCATCTCAAATCTCAACTCTTCTGGGTCTCTGTGCTGTGCTGTCGTAGATGTTGATTGACGTTTCGGAGGATTTTACCGTGTCCATCATCAGGGCAACGAGTAATTAGTGACAGCCATTGTTGCGAAGTAAATAGCACTGCTGGTATCAGCTTAGAGTTATTTAATTTTCGTGTATTTCGTTTAATATTTATCGCATCGAAAAACTTTGCGCGGTCAAGTTACGTAATATAATATAGGTCTGTATTTTACGTAATGTGTCACTTTATTTGTTTGTGAATAGAAGTGG